ATCTTGCTTGAACTTATGTAGACTCATGACCTTATCCTCAACCGTACCTTGCGTAATTAATCGGTAAACATTGACTTTTCGCGTTTGTCCGATACGATGAGCCCTAACGATAGTCATAATTAGTAACACTACACCTTTCTAAGATGAAATACCCACCTATCAATGGCCTGCAAATCTTTCATTGGATTCCAGTCATGATCAAGGAATATCACAACATCAGCACCCGTTAGGTTCAGTCCGACGCCACCAATCTGCAAAATTCCAATAAAATTGCGGCTGTCAACAACATAATAATGTACTTACATGAGTAGTCAATACGAGCACATCAATCAGATGATCAGAATTGAAGCGATCAACAACAGATTGTCGATCCGAAGGAGCAACAGAACCATCGAGGACCAAATGTGAGATCGGTGCTCCAAAATCGCCTCTAAAACGCGAATTGCAGGCAAAACATGAAGATGAGGTAATAGCGGCTCTAAAATCCGCTCTGAAGCGCCAATTTGAGAGAAAAATGAAGAATTACATGATAGAGGAAGTCAAACTCAAACTGATTAGCTGTAAACGCGCGGATTTTGAACGATATTACTTCAGCCAGTCTCCAAAGCACAGAAACATACCTAGCCAATGCTGCTGAAACCAGCTGCACAGACGACTTCCACTGACAGAATATCAAAGCCCGATGTGGCAATTCTACTGGTATTGACGATAGCGGATCTAAAATATTCATAAGAAGTATTCTCATTTTCCATGAATTCTCAGCCCTCATGCACACCTTCATCTTCAGGATCTTCCTTCTCTATCGTCACGCCTATACCGCATTCATTCAGCAATTGTCCTAGAGCAGCTAATTTTCCAGATGTTGCAAATTGGAGCTAAAGTAGGGATTTCAGCACTTCACGTAATTACAAAATTCTTTAGAGCAAAACGGTCAAACTGATGACTTCCACTTGTTACTCACCAGCTTCATAATCTCTTCCGGCGCAGCTAACTTCGTCAGGACATCCTCAATAAGCGACGGATGATCAACAAGTTGTCGCAAGGCTGTGAGGGCATGAAGAGGTGAAATGCCGCGTCGTGCAGCCAGCTGGGTGCGATTGGCAGTGCATCTATGAAAAGATAAAGAAGTGCAGAAAAATATAGAATAAACTGAAAAGAAGAGGTGGAAAAGTTAAGGTGAGAAATCTCAAAAAGTACATACCTGTCGACAATGAATTTGTAGATAGTTCTTTGCTCATCGCTTAGTTGACACTGGTAATCCTGGACGTTCTTGTCGGGTAACTCACGAAGAACCTATAATAACGAATGCAGCAGCTCATTTTCAGATCTGAATGGTAATTCTACCTCAGACTTCAACCTCCTCATAATGAATGGAAGAATCAACTTATGCAGTTGAGAAACAGCCTCCGATCCATCCTAGAACTCCCGCTAATGGAGAAAGGAT